CACTTTATCTTACTATAATATGACAGCTTTTTATCTATATGAATTTGACACATCATAAAAGCACGTATTCCTGGGGGTCATTTCATTATCTGATTAGTATTTGTAAACTTTAAGTGTTAAAATTAAACAACAATTTCATAAAGGCACATAAGGTGTTAAAAGCTTTAACAAGTAGAAATGTGTTTAGTATATTATTAACCTTGTTGGAAATATACGACGTTCTGTAGTTCAGATATACTAAAAGATATCATTTGACAGATGGATGAATCTGTCCAATAATGATCTCTTTTTCTAATCACCACTAAGAAACACTATAAATATATATTATTCTATTTCTAAATTTTATATTGTATAAAATTCCGTTCCCACAGAAAATTAAGACAGTTTAACTAATAATCGGAATATTTATGCATTACTTGTTAGCAATTTTACTACCGCAATTTGTTCTGAGCGTTTTGCTCACATCAGACTTGCATATTATTAGTCATCCAAGTACTGGTGCATTTCTTCACCCTATAGGTAAATATCAGCCTGCTGATCGAATTATAAATGTATCAGTAATTATTCCACTTCTAAGTAGTGCATGCTTTATATTTAGCATATTATACACAGTTTCACCGTTGCAGCTGGCGCAGCTACTGTAGCCGGTATTAACACCAAGCAGATACATGATATTAAAAACCAAACGCAAAATTTATTAACAACACTGTCCGAAGTACAGAAACAGCATTCTATCCAAACGGCCGAAATCACTTTAATTAAAGAAGGGGGCATAAAAACTCTTACAAAGTTAGAAGCCACAACAAAAGGTTTAAACGATGTAATTGATGTTGTTAATGTTGAGAGACAAAATATTCGTGCGATGAATAGTAGTTTAGTTTATTCGATACACGTTTGAATAATTTAGAAAAACGTCAGCATTATTCGACTTTATATCAGTCTATTGATAATATATATCACAATCGATTAAATCTTTTATAGGGTGTTCCATTAGATGTCAAAACCATTATTAAAACTGTCTTGATCTGGCTCAACGTGATTTTGAAACATCGATTTATGCTTCGATGCCTCTAATCGAAGTTGTTACATAAGTTCTCTGTTTTCAACAATTAGTGTTTATTATATCATCACTGTATCAAGCAACATCACCTGATGAAATTGGACGTTTAGTAGGAACAAATGTCTTTGGTTTACCAAGAATTAATCATATATTTTCAGTTTATGAAATATTAACAATTCCATTTAAACACCATTCAAAATTTATTCAGTTGGTGAGATACAGAGTTCTGATTAATGATCAGAAAACTTTTTAAGAAGCTAAAAACCTTTATCAAATATTTGTCTTGATCAAATTTTGAAGAAAAATAAATTGTCTTCGTGTATGTATCAAAATATACCAGATGCACCACATTTTATCCTTCAACTACATGGTTCTTATTGGGTGATTTCATTGAACACATCTGTTGAATGTTTCAAAATTCCAATTATACCATCGAACAATGCATATAAAAATGTTATTATGAAAAATGGACGAATATTATTGTCATGGGTGTCACTTCTAGAAGTACCCAACAATACAATGATCAGTTGCGACGGTTTCAATATTATGGGTAAGCAGAAAGTAATCACCTACAGTTTAATTTTCTAGTGTGAGCGGTCAGTCTTTCGCCATCGTTACCGTTTTCCGTCTTTAAGCTGTTCTCACATCATAATGTGATTTTAAATACGCATGGTCAAAGGGACTTTATCATGCTGATCTATGAAAGTATCTTAGATACCGCTATTTGTTATGAATATATAGACAGCTATTGATTTCATTTCTAAAAGCATTATTCTCGTGATCTGGAAGAAAGACTGTCTACGAGAAGATACAAAATTCTCGTGGAGAGGGGATAATATCTGCGGGATGCTATGCGTAATTGTCACAAAAAACAGCATAATTCTCGTTTAAAAGCGTTATTCTGGTAACCTGGAAGAGAAAGTTTCTATGAGAAAATACTAGATTCCCGTGTAGACAGCATAATATCTATTCTATGCATAATTCTCGCAGAAAACAGTATAATTCTCGTGTGAAAGCATTATTCTGGTGAGTCTAACTTTCGAGCGATTGGGAGAAGTTTTGTATACGTCTCTATGCGGGAACTTTTGTAAAAACATTAAATTGATTTGACTGCAGTACTAAATTTTAGATGGTCGTTGAGCCCTTGTAGTGACCGCATCTTCATGCCTCTACAGGGATGAAACTTTGTCATTGAATTTCGAGACGAATTGGTGAAATTCGATATATTAGAATACGCCCACTGATGAGAAAGGCCAACACTATAAGCAGTTGTCTGTAAAATGATAAAATACCTAATTTCTACCGAATTAGGCCGAAACGCAGGCATTTTCGATCCAGTGGGACATAAAAGAAAGAAGCAATACATTCTTTTTTTTAATTACTATAGACTATTTTTTTATGATCTTATTTATATGCATCAGTTTTTGGTATTTGCGGCATTTGGCATACCGATACCGGCGCATGCTTAGTTTGAATATAACCTGCCTATCTTAACTATTTAAAGTAACATAGCAAGTAACAAGGTAATTATTATGAGTATGAGAAACAGCATCTTCCCTTTTCTCAACCAAAAAGAAGTAAGATTATTTTTCTTTTCAAGCACTATGATTGCCAAGATTGGGCAGCAGAACATTTCACTTTGATCATTTAAAACAATCGGATAATTGGGCTCATATTGAAAAAGTAAAAATTATTTGTTTTGAAGTAAATTTATAATCTATATTTATTAATGATCGAACAGATTCAAACTTGACATGAAGAGATTTTCATTGTCTCTTCTTTCTGCACCCTTCCCCGCCTCCCACAAAGGTCCTTTTCTACAGAGAGCATCCGACCTCAATCAAACTTTCAGGAAACTAAGCTCATTATGCAAGTAGGTCATGATTGAAATTGCAACTCGAGATCGAACTGTTTAGGAGATATAATAACACAAGCATCAAAAATAGGGTCCCACGTTCGAATATTTTTCTAACGAAAAGTAGTAATTGTAATGGTTGAACTAGTTTTTTATCATAATACACCAGAGCTATGCACGATAATAGGCGATTTTGGGTTTATTCAATTGTAAAACAAATAAGGATTCGTTGATCGAAAAACGAACTAAAATTTATACAATTGAATCCGATCTGTTTCAGTCTCTAATATTGACAAAATATTGAGAAATCATTTTTTATTTTACCTTCTTTTATTTTTACATAGGATATGCCGAGCAGCAGCCGTTCAGTATGCATACAGATGTGTTCGTTGAACATTTTGTTCCACTAGTACGCATATCGAAGAACGAACAGGTCACTTGAGGAGCACAAAGTGTCACATTCGTGGATGTCTCAGAACGGTAGCAGGTCACATCAAAATTCTAATTTAGTTTATTTTGTTTAATTTAGTTCTTTTGAATGTATTGTAGATGCATATGTCCATTGGCATATAAAAAATTCCAATTCATTCGCTATTTTTATAATAACGGATATTGTAGCATACAAGCAGAAGAATGCAACAAACGAAGAAGAGAACGTTTTTATTTACATTTACTACTATACAACATACTGTCAATGGTTGGATCCGAGATACCGAAATACCCATAGTCTATCATAAAATGTGGGTTTAATATAAAAACTAGTGAAAGAGACATAACTCTTAAAACATAAATAATGCAGAATTAAACTTCAGTTTTTTTCATTAAATTCTCTTCGGGACACGGTAGTACTATAAGATGCTAGCGTTCAACGTTTTTGAGTTAACTGCGCAGATGAGTAAGTAGCAGGGCTCGAAACAGGCCAGGCTACAAATTATCGGCGTGCACCAGGCTAAGGCAGACCAGACCTAGACTGAAATAGATTCAGGCAGACCTTTGAAAACACCAGGCGGCCTAGCCTAGAAAATTTGCGTATTTTTATTCATAATGTAGCATTTCGGCTGTAGATGTTCGTTATGATATAGGAGTTTCACAGTGTGAAACTATGTACTAGACTGAAATAGATCACTAAATCTTGACACAGTTGAGGATATCTTATTAGTTAGATCAGTTCAGAGAATACTTGAACAAAAACCAAATTTTTTCACTTAGATATATTGTTTAGTTATCTGTCACTTTTCTTTCTATCTTATTTCACTATTATTTGTACATTTTGTTTATTATAAAAATTACCAGGCATCTACAGACTAGGTCAGGGTAGGCCGAAAGCAATGGCAGGCGGGCAGGCAAGGCACAGGAAATATTTCGACAGGCCCAGGCAGATTTAAACATTACAGACCTAACGCAGGCAGACCAGGTCTCAAAATTGTCGGCCTGTTTCGAGCCCTGGTAAGTAGTGAATATCAAATAAATTTAATGGAAAAAACTGAAGTTTACTTCTGCATCGATTATGTTCTATGAGTTGTCTCTTCCGCTACGCTTCCATATTAAAACCACATTTTATGGTAAACTACGTTTTGGATTCAACCTTTGACAGTATGCTCCACATCTTTACCAGTAAATACGATAAAAAGGTCGAGCCATGCAGTGTTAAAATAAAGTAAAATAAAACTTTACTGAATTGAAATTAAAAAAGCTATTTAAAATTCATGAAAGTTGGTTGCAAAGTGAAGCATTATTAAGAAAAAAAACTTATTTAATATCGAAAGTTGATTATAAAGGAAGCTTTTTATAAGTATTTACCATGTGTATAACAATAGAAGAGAGAAAGGAAGAACATTTTTTTTTTTGTTCACGAGGGGATAATAAGCTAATCATCAGAATTTGTTTTTTGCAATATGTTTTTTAAATTGTGTTCCATCTTATTCAGATCCTACCTTCTCGGTCGTTTGAGAGAGAATATATTTCAATGTATAAAAATAAAAAATATTATCGGCAACTGATTTATTTCTGTCCTTGTACTAGTAGTTTAGTAAATGACATGAATAATAATCAACTTATTCGATTCTATTCCCAAATTTATATAAATTATTCTTTTAGATCAAAAGTGAGAGGAATACGTAAAATAGTATTGAATTCTTCCACCCAGTCAACAGATATACGAGCATGGATACGACCTTGACGACCAAATAAAGAGACTGGACAGTGAGATGGATGTACATAAACAGAATTATGCCATACACCAGGATAAATGTATAAACCGTAACCTTCACTTACATAAAATGCAGTGAAATGATCAGGTGTAATATCATCACCGATAGGTGGAGCCAAAGTGGAAATGAATGGTTTATTATTGGTGGGAAAGAACAATTGACCACCATCAGGATGATAATCAGAGCTCCAAATAAGAACAGATGAAATATCTGATGATTTACTTATGTTTGAATTATTTGATAAGTTTGCATATCCAAGTAAATAATGATTAGAATCAGTGGCAATGGCATGATTTTTGGCATACAATCGATCACCTTCCCAATAAATATCCATAGATCCTTCAGTTGTTCCACCTTCGTTTCCCGTTTCTGGATCAAGTGCTCTCCATCCTTTTGTAGGCCAGGGAACTATATCAAATTTGCCATTTTCTACAGTGACATCATCTGGAGAAGTGATCAAGAAACCAACATCTTTTAACGATTCGTTTGTTGCTTTTATTAGAGGTATATCTTTCACCTTTACATCAGGAGGAATTATCCGATTTAAATACTTTTCTTTACTGATCCCACTCATTTTATCTAAATGAAAAACAATACAAAAATTATAAAATGTGTATGCAATAAACACTTTGTTTACTAATATGAAATTATACTAAGTTAATTTTTTAACACTTTCGGACTCGAGCTCGTTCAAGAAAATAGGCTTTTATCAAGAGTTTTTTTCGAGTACAAAAAATTGATTTAAATAACGTTTATCAAAATGAATGAAAAAAATACATTGAGACAATAATTATTATTATGTATTTTATTGTCTATCATTATTTTAACTTTAACAATCTAGAAAGACAGATGGATTATTTCACATCGATCTATTTGTACACTTACTTTATATATGACTCAATATAATCACTATGATAATGTCGTGTGCGCTTTCAATTTGATTTTTTTTGTTTGTGAATAAAAATTAATGGAGATAACTTTTACAATTCAACAGGAAGAACAACAATATGCCGAGTTTCACTTTATTCATTTATCATAAAGAAAATCTACAGTTTGAAATGGAAAAATTTTCATCCAAGGAGATAATGCTGATTTAACCAAAAATTCATATAAAATCGCTGAGAAATTTCTAAATCGAAATTTGCTGAGCATTTTCTAGATTCTAGGAAATCGAATTGGAAATTGACGGTGGTTTACCAAGAATCTGGAAAATCAATGTCGAATTTGCGGGATTCTCGAAAATTCGACTTTCTAGAATGTATAAAATCCCTGAGGAACACATATATGGCCTTAGTCTATTTTCTTCTTATTCAGCGTTAAAAGCTGAATTATAAAATGATATTAAATCCATCTCGAAGATGAACATGTGTCCACCATGGACCCTCGAATGAACTATTGGAAAAGAAGGGTGACTCATTTTGTAAACTTACCTACTCTCCGTTTCAAAATGGTTGGCACTCGGTTGCTTTTTGAATAACTTTTGATAGGAATGAGATAGAGACCTGCGATTTTCGCTGTTCAATAGCCAAGACTTGAGCAGAACTTTCCACAAGCAGAAGCAACTTTTGAAAAAATTCCAGAGACCGGGTTTTCAGAGGATCTTTGAAAAATCGGCTTCGTTCTCAGAAAACTAAAATACAATGTTAGTAACTTTTTTGCATGCGTAGATAGTCCGGA